TAAAATGACATAAAATGGATAATTTTGAATGTTGGAACTAAATTTGGGCCTGATTAATTGGCCCACATAGAGGCCCAAAACTAAGAACTTATTCTCCAAAAACCCTACTACATAAATCAAATGAACTTAACCTCAGCAAGTTCAGGGAAGGAAGAAGACTGCAGAGAAGAGACGCCGCCGCAGAAATCCATAGGGTAATCAAATTCTCATCTTCGATTTATGTTTCTCTTATGAATTTATCGATCTTCTGAGCATTTCACAAAAAAAAATCATCTTTTTTGAGCTAAAGGAAAAGATACTAGGCTTAGACGTTTTGGAATGAGCTTGTTGTGTATAAAGTTTGAGCATTTGATCGATTCGTTGATTTGGGTTTTAGATAATAGCCTTAGTTTTTGATTTGTTGAAATGGGTTTGTGTCAAAAGCTTCAATTTGTTTGATTCTTGAATTTTTTGTGTGTATGTGTGTGGGAGGAGGAGTGGGGGGTGGGTGTTATCTGTTTTTTTCTGTTCAGAGTATTGCTGTTTCTCTAAAGTTGTATTTTTGTGCTGTAGATTAGAGATATGGGTGAGGGAGGTGTAGTAGTTCCAGAGTCGGTATTGAAGAAGCAGAAGAGGAATGAGGAGTGGGCTCTTGTAAAGAAGCAAGAGCTTGCAGTTGCCAAGAAAAAGAGTGTTGAGAATCGTAAACTTATCTACAACAGAGCTAAACAGTATGCTAAGGAGTACTCAGAGCAGGTAATTTATAAACTAAAATGTCTCAGTAAATGATGCTGATTTTTTCCCTTTGTTATTGAGGTATTTAAGAGTTTCTGTTTATGCATTTAGGAGAAGGAGTTGATCCGTTTGAAGCGCGAGGCACGATTGAAGGGAGGATTCTATGTTGATCCAGAGGCCAAGTTGCTCTTCATCATCAGAATCCGTGGGTAAGATGTTGCTGGATTGTTTAAATCTGGGATTTGATGAATTGATTCCTGTTTATCCACTTGTCATTTTGAATTTTCAGGATTAACGCAATGCCTCCTCAGACTAAAAAGATTCTGCAGCTTCTCAGATTGCGACAGGTGAGTTTTTGATGTTTCCTGTTTAATATGTATATAAATATGTAAGAAGATGCTGGTTCTAGTTTTAACCGTCACAAAAATATGATGATCAAATTTATGTATTATTGGATTATGTTTTCCTTTCTCTAGTTTCCTTGCCGCTCTGTAACTTTAAGTGATTCAATCTGCTCAACATGGCTGCAGATTGTACCATTATTAGGTCAGTTACATGTTGTTTTCAATCCAAAAGCTTTAGAATAGAGCATTTAAGCTTCCAATTTCATCTTTTACATCCATGCCAAGATAACCTTTGACATTCAACTTTGATGGAGGAGTTGATTCATTCATTTCATTTTCTAACATCTAGGCTTTACATTATTTAGTCGATTCGTTCATTACACTTTCTTATCATGTAACTTTGCACATAGTTTTATCTTTTACCCTGTGATAGTACATGATTGGACTGCCATTTTACTTGGTACATCTTTTACTTTTTGTGGTTACTTCATGATTTCTACTAGTGAGTTGTTACAAAGACTAAGTTGTGTTGCGGAAGGACATACCAATCTCTGTCCCGGCATTACAGCTATGCTCTTGTTTTAGATTGCCAGTTACTCTTTTCTTTAGATCTTTTCTGAAGATGTGATAACTTGCTATTGAATTGCTTTTAAACTTTTGCACTTTGGATTTTATGTTTGTTTTTCTTTATTTAAGTCTCTTATTGTTCTTGTTTTAGTACTTACCCAGCTCATTTTTGTCTGTCTAATGAGATGACTCTTTGCTATATGACAGATCTTCAACGGTGTCTTCTTGAAAGTTAACAAGGCCACCGTGAACATGCTGCATAGGGTTGAGCCATATGTCACATACGGGTATCATTCTATTCTTGTTCTAATGCGTTGTATCCTTCTGAGATTAATTTTGATTTTGGAGTTCCTCTATCTGTTATTGATTGATGAATCTCTTCAATTTTCCCAGCTATCCCAACTTAAAGAGTATCAAGGAATTGATCTACAAACGAGGTTATGGAAAGGTAGACAAGCAGAGAATTGCTTTGACCGACAATGCTGTAGTTGAGCAGGTTGGTGCAAAGTATATTTGAAATTCATTCATAGTGTCCCGACAAACCTCTCTTTAACATTATTCGTCTGGATATTTCTTTGGCTATAATATATAATATAAAACATAACATAAATTCAAGAATCCCCTAAGCTTCAAACGAAAGGATACCCTAATCTCTACAGCTTTTTCATCACAATGCGCTCCCATGTTGTAGGTGTTGGGCAAACATGGAATCATTTGCATCGAAGATCTCGTTCACGAGATCATCACTGTGGGACCACACTTCAAGGAGGCTAACAACTTCCTATGGCCTTTCCAACTCAAGGCACCTCTTGGTGGACTAAAAAAGAAGAGAAACCACTACGTTGAAGGCGGTGATGCTGGAAATCGCGAGAATTTCATCAATGAGCTCATCAGGAGGATGAACTAAAACATCTCTCACTAAGCAACAGTTTTGTTTCTTTAGAAGTTTGTTTTTGGTGTTTTGAACCGTTTGTAATATTGAACTAGACACATTTCTGCCAGAGGTTAAAAATTGGTCTTTGGATTAAGTATGCTAATTGCCTCTGGTTTTTTCATTGTTCAATATTAAAATGGAAGTGTGCTTTGTTCAATTTATATTATGGTTTCTGCTTCATCCGTTTCAATTTGTTTTTTGTTTATTGATTTATTTTTAGTACTCTATTATCTAAATGAAAAATAATGATGGGATTACAATGTAAGTAATGTTGAATCATAGATATTTATCAAAATAATTATGATCCGCTGATTCAAACAAATAAAGAGAAGTTTGATATATTTAAAAATAATTATAATTGGTCATTATTTTATAAGAAATGTATCCATACTTTACTGTATGAATTTGAAACAGATCAATATGCACACTATTATCTTGAGAAGTACTAATGAGGGACTTAATCATTGTCGCTCTTAAAGTTGTTTGCATATTTTACGAAGACACTTTAATTCAGTTTTGTACCTATTAAATACATAAATCTTTAACAAATATAAACCTGTTTGACATAAAATAACAATTAGTTTGAAAAATAAATATGTGGATATTTTAGACACTTGTAAATAACAAACATAACAATAAAATAATGACACATGACATTGGATCCAACTTTTCTAAAAATTCTATTTAAATAATTTAAAATGATTTTTTCAAAAATAAAAATCTATTGTTTTGAATTACCCTCCTATGCCGCCTTTTCTTCTTTGCGACCCATTTTAATAGTTTTACGCGCCAAAAGAGAGTGTAGCATACAATTTTTGATATATTAGTATTTTGTATTTTATAGGAATGACTTTTGAACAAATACAATGTTCAATTGGCACAAAGATAAGTTAAAGTGTTCAAATGAAATTACAGATAAATTTAAAGAGTTGTATATCACTTAAGCCGATAAAAAATATTTTACAATAATGACATACATTAAATTTGATAGGTTTTAATGAAGTATTATTTATTAATTATAGTTCATATAATATATATATATATATATATATATATATATATATATATATATATATATATAT